AGAATAATAAAGACCAGAACAGAAACTGACATACACACACATAAAAAAATACAAACGGTCAACAAAAGAAAAAGGTTTTTTGAAAAGATGAACAAAATTGACAAACCTTTAGCCAGACTAGCTAAGAAAAAAGGCAGAGACATAAATAAAGTCAGAGATGAAAAAGAAACATTAGAACTGGTACAACAAAAATTCAAAGAATCATTAGAGACTATTACGGGCAACTATACACCAATAAATTGGAAGAAATAAATTCCTAAACACATACAACCTAAGACTGAACCATGAAGTAATACAAAACCTGAACAGACCAATAACAAGTAATGAGACAGAAGTAGAAATGAAAAGTCTCCCATCAAAAACACAACAAAAACAAACAAAAAAACTCTAGGACTTGACGGCTTCACTGCTGAACTCTCAATACTTAAAAAAGAACTAAAACCAATCCTACTGAAATTATTCCTAAAAATAAAGAAGGAGGGATACTTCAAAACTTATTTTACAAAGCCAGAACCACCCTGATACCAAAACCAGACAAAAATAACCAAAATGAAAATAAAACTACACGCCAGTATTTCTGAAAAACAGATGCAAAAATCCTCAATCAGATACTAGCAAACTGAATTCAACAACACATTAAAAACATCATTCTTCATGATCAAGTGGAATTCATACCAAGGATGTAAGGATGGTTTGATATATGCAAATCAATAAATCTAACACATCATATCAAGAGAATAAAGGAAAAAGATGAACATTTCAATAGACGCAGAAAAAGCATTCAATAAAATTCAATATCCCTTTATGATAAAAAGTAAGCCTCAAAAACTAGGTACAGAAAGAAGTTCAACTAAAAACAAAAAAGCCACAATCAACAAACTACAGCTAGCATCAAACCGAAGGGGGAAAAACTGAAAGCCACTTTGCTAAGATCTAGAATGAGACCAGGATGCTCATTTTCATCACTTTCATTCAACCCAGTCCTAGAAGTCCTAGTCAGAACAATTAGACAAGAGAAAAGTAAAGCCATGCAAAAAGTAAAATTATCCTTGTTTGCAGATGATCTATGATCTTATATTTAGAAAAACCTAGAGAATCCACCCAAAAACTATAAAAACTAATAAATGAGTTCAGTAAAGCTGCAGAATACATAAAAATTAACATTAAAAAATCAGTGGTATTTCTACATACCAATAAAGAACAATCTGAAAAACAACGTAATTCCATTTACAACAGTTACAAATAAAATAAAATACCTAAGAATAAACTTAACCAAAGAAGGAAAAGATCCCTACAAGGAAAACTGTAAAATATCAATGAAATAATGAAATATCAATGAAATATCAATGAAATAAATTGAAGAGAACACACACACACACATGCTGACAGATTGGAAGAATCAATATTGTTAAAATGTCCATATTACCCAAAGCAATCTACAAATTCAATGCAATCCCTAATAAAATACCAATGACATTCTTTATAGAAAGAGAAAAAAAAAATTTTAAATTTAAATGGAACCACAAAAGACCCAGAATAACCAAAGCAATCTTGAGCAAAAGCTGGAAGCATCACATTAACTGACTTCAAATTATACTACAAATGTATAGTAAGCAAAAGAGCATGGTACTGGCATAAAAAACCAACACACAGGCCAATGTAACAGAATAGAGAAATAAATCCATGAATTTACAGTCAACTCATTTTTGACACAGGTGCCAAGAACCTACACTGGGGAAAAGACAGTCTCTTCAATAAATGGTACAGGACATCCAGATACAGAAGAATGAAACTATACCCCAATCTCTTACCATATGCAAAAATCAAACCAAAATGTAGTAAAGACTTAAACAGTATTTGCAAACTATCCATCTAACATGGGATTAATAACCAGAATATGTAAGGAGTTCAAGCAACCAAATAAGAAAAAGAAATAATAATTCCATTGAAAACTCCAACTTAAAAAAATCTGAATAGAAATTTCTCAAAAGAAGACATTAAATGGCCAACAGGTGTACGCAAACATGTTTGACATCACTAATCCTCATCAAAACTACAATGAACTATCATCTCATCTCAGCTAAAATGGCTTTTATCCAAAAGATAGGCCATAATGAATGCTGGCAAGGGTATGGAGAAAGGGGAAACCTCACACGTGACCTTGGTTTCATGGTCTCCAGAACCATGAGGGGATACCTTTCTATCATTTTAAGCCACCAAGTTGGCAGCAATTTGTTATGGCAGCCCTAGGAAACTAATAAAACCCCCATGCAGCTGCCTTCAGTGACCGATCCTCAGAACTTGGCCCTTGACGCAGCCATCACTCCTTCCTCCTCGGTAGGCTTCCTTCCCTTGGCTTCGAGGGTGCTATCCTTCCCGGTGTTCCTATTTCACTGGTCTCTTCTCAGTCTTTCTGCTGGTTCCTCTTTCCCCTGCTCAGTACTGAAATGCCCAGAACTCGGTCCTAAGTTCTTATCTGTTAACCTCATGTGCTCCCTGGATGATCTATTCCAGTCTCATGGCTGTCAGCACTACTCTTAGACTGATCATCAAAAATTTACCTCTTGCCTGAACGACTTGCTCACTGGACATCTTCACTAGGATTTCCAGTACTTATTAAAACTCCTCATAGCCCGAACTCCCCCTCGCCCACCACGTCTGTCCACCTACACACCAACTTCTACCTACAGACGTCTCCATCCATGGCAGCATCGTTCCTCCAGTTGCTGGAGGGAGAGATGGGGAGTCCTCTCCGTTGCCTGCTGCCCCCATCCCCTCTATCAGGGATCTTTCCAAATCTGCCACACAAAACATCAAGAAAACACATCCAGACTCCAATCACACCTCACCTTCTCCACTGCTACCACCACGGTCCCAGTCAATGTGACATTTTGCCTGGTTTATGGCAACGGCCTCCTCACGGGGCTCTGTGTTTCCATTTTAGACTCACTACAGACTATTTTAATATGGCAGCCAGAGCGATCGATCTTATTAAGACATAAGTTAGATAATATCCGTCTGTTACTAAAAACCACCACTACTTCATTCATAGCGAAAACCCAAGTCTTCACCACGGCCCACCGGTTCCCTATCATCTTGCCCCTACTCTCCACAACTTCTCCAGCCTCATTCCCTATCCCATTTGTCTTTGCTCACTGTTCCAGGTATACTCATAAAAAAAAAAAAATGAGAAAAACGGCCCCCAATTCTTCTTTTCCTGCATTCACACCTTTGCAACATATCAGGGAAAATCTTCCCAACAGGAGGCGTTATCTGTTTCCCCACCCTGAGAACTTGCGCTGACAAGGTGACCTGCTTTGCATGGGGTATTCACAGCGTGACTTGAGTGAGGCTTGAGAAGAATCTGCACGTTGGGATTTTCTCTGTTGCTATCCTTGGGAACCTTGCCAAGCCAACTGAAGAAGGACCAGTCTTGTTGCCCTGGTGGTGAGTCTGCCAACTGACAGGCTGACTATCACTTCAGATGACGAGACCAGCCTGCCTACAGACCTACCAGCTGGCTAGAGACGCACAGTCAAGTCCAAGAGACATCAGAGCAGCGGGCCCAGACAAAAAACCTGCTCTGTTGGCCCCCAAAACATAATCTGAAGTTGTTTTGAGCCACAGAGTTCAGAGATGCTTGTTACTCAGCATTAGGGAACAACATCTTGCATCTTTGCTTTTCCTCAACTGCTCATACTTTTGCAATGGCAAGTTCTTTACTGGAACACTTTGCCCCTACACAGCACACGGAATGTGTTTTCATTCTGCATGCCTCCATTCAAATTTCGACCTCTCCGTGAGGACTACGCTGATTACTCTATTCAAAACTGCAACCCCCACCATCATCCCCAGCACTCCACACCCTTTTCACCACGCTCTACTTTTTTCATTCTTCTGTAGCAGTTATTGCTTTCTAACATACTATATAGATTTCTTACATAAGTATTGCTTTTATTGTCTGCTCACTCCTGCTAGAATGTTAGCTACAAAAGAACAGAGGTCCTCATCTGCACTATAAATTGATGCATCCCATGTATCAAAATCAGAGACTGGCACATAGTACTTGCTAAATAACTAATGGTTGAATGAATAAATTCTGTGTTCTACAGATGGGCTTAGATAATTCACATCTTCTTTTCCCTTACCCATTTTTGTTTACTTAACCCGTCAGTCACTAAGAGAGTTAAAATCTTTACTATGACTGTGGACTTGTCTACCATGCCAGTATTTGACCGCTTTGTTTTAACATCTAGTGTTTTTACTATAAAACAATTTTAAATGTTTTTTTTAAAAAAATAACAAAACATCCCATCAATATTTTTTTTCTGAGTTGGAGTCTCACTCTGATACCCAGGTTGGAGTGTAGTGGCACATTCATGGCCACTGGAGCCTCGATCTGCTGGGCTTAGGCGATCCTTCTGCCTCAGTCTTCCAAGTAGCTGGAACTACAGACACACGCCACCATGCCTGGCTAATTTTTGTGACTTGTTGTAGAGATGAGGTCTCACCAAGTTGCCCAGGCTGGTCTCGAACCCCAAGGCTCAGGCAATCCTCTCGCCTTGGCCTCCCAAAGTGCTGGGATGACAGGCTGAGCCACTGCACCCGGTCTAAAATACTGTTTAACAATAAAAATAATAGTAATCAAGACTAACTTACGGCTGTTTGCTGTATACCTACTGTTCTAACACTGCTCTAATTCAGATGTTTAATGAAGAGGCAGTCTATCAAAGTCCTTCTGCTAAAGATGAAATGAGAATAACAGTGGACAGGAAATGAGAGGTCAAGTAACACACATTGCTCACCCTGGCAGCCACACAACACCCATAGTCTCCGTTTCTGTGTCTTTCCGTCCTAACAGATCAGACACACAGAAAACTGTCAACAGAAGCTTCTGATGAGGGAAGGTGGAAACACCCATGGGAAAAATGATGGCATCCTCAGATCCCCTGAAGAAAACTAGATAACACTAAAATAACAACACCCATTTCTAAAAATACCTAAGTTCTTTTCGGAGTTGTTCAATTATCACATTATCTTCAGTTACTGTTTGCAGGAACTGTTGGTTAACCTGTCACAAGGAAAATAAAAATAATCAGTATTAGAACCTTTAAAACCCAAGTCTCTAAAGATTAACTATAAGGCAAGCAAGTGTTTAAAAAAAGAGTGAGGGTTAAGATAATGAGTAAACTTCCCAGGGGTAAACGTGGCCCTGGCTGCCGGTCCTCACCGTCACTGCTTCAGCGGATACCTGCTTTGCTTCAAACTACCACACTTGCAAGATGGATTTGGCTGTGCATGGCTTTTTTGTGGTTCTGTGCAAGTTTTAGGCCTTCTAAAGTTGATGTTAAAAATGTGTTGGAAGCCGGGCTCGGTGGCTCAGCCTGTATTCCCGCGCCTTTGGGAGGCTGAGGTGAGTGGATGGCCTGAGCCCACGGGTTCGAGACATGTCTGGGCAGTGAGACCACATCTCTACAATAAATCAAAAAATCAGCCGGGTGTGGTAGCACATGCCTGTAATTCCAGCTACTCGGAAGGCTGAGGTGGAAGGATCGCTGAAACCCAGCAGGTCGAAGCTGAGGTGGCTGGGAGCGGCCACTGCACTCCAGTCTGGGTGACAGAGTGAGACTCCAACTCAAAAAAAAAAAAAAAAAAGTATTGGAATTTTAATAGGGATTCACCGATTGCTTTGGGTAGTGCGGACCCTTTAACGATGTTAAGTTTTGCAATCCTTAAACATAGGATGTCTTTTTATTTGTCTGTGTCTTGTTTTGTCTGCTCTAATCTTTATTCTCCTCCTTCTGCTAACTTTTGGGATTTAAAATTTCTTTTATTGTGTTTAACAGTTTCTAATATGTAAGTCTTTCACCTCCTTAGTTATATTTACTCCTGGGTATTTTATTCTTTTGGGTGGTATTATAGATGGGAATATATCTTCTAATTTCTTTTTCAAACATTGTTAGTACATAAAAACACGACTGATTTTTGAATGTTGATTTTTGTATACTGTAATTTTACACTATTAGTTCTAACAGTTTTTGAGTGGAATCTTTAGGATTTTCTCTATACAAGAACATGTCATAACAGAGACTGTTTTACTTTTTCCTTTCCAATTTGAATGTCTTTTATTTCTTTTTCTGGACTTACTGCTATTGGTAGAACTTCCAGTTGCTACGTTGAGTAAAAGTGGCAAGAATAAGCATTCTTGCTTGCTCCTGATCTTAGAAGAAAAGCTTTCAGTTTCCACCAATGAGTATGATGTTAGCTGTGGGTTTATCATATATGACATTTATTTTTTTAATAGAAAGTAATTTCCTTCTATTCCTAGTGTATTGAGAATCTGCATCATGAAAGGGTGCTGGATTTTGTCAAACACTTTCTTACACCTACTGAGATAATCGTGATTTTAACCCTTTATTCTGTCAATGAGGTATATTATATTACTTGATTTTCATATGCTGAACCATCCTTGAATCCCAGGGATAAACCCCACCTGATCATGGTGCACGATCCTTTCAATTTGCTGTAGGATTCAGTTTGATAGTATGTTATTGAGGATTTTTGTATATACATTAGCCTATAGTTATCTTTCCTTGGCTTTGGTATCAGGGTAACCTTGGCTTCGCAAAATAAATTTGAAAGTTTTCCCTTCTCTTCAATTTTTTGGAAGATTTTGAGAAGGACTGGTATTACTTCATCTTTAAATGTTTGGTGGAATGCACCAATGAAGCCATCTGATCCTAGGCACTTCTTTGTTGGGAGGTTTTTTGTTTGTTTGTTTTTTGTTTTTGAGTTGGAGTCTCACTCTGTGGCCCAGACTGAAGTGCAGTGGCTGTTCCCAGGCACTGCAGCCTCGACCTGCTGGGCTACAGCGATCCTTCTGCCTCAGCCTTCCAAGTAGCTGGAACTACAGGCACATACTACCAAGCCCAGCTAATTTTTGATTTATTGTAGAGATGAGGTCTCGCCAAGTTGCCCAGGTGGGTCTTGAACTCGCGGGCTCAGGCAATCCACTTGCCTCGGTCTCCCACAGTGCTGAGCCACTGAGCCCAGACTGTTGGGAGGTTTTAAACTACTGATTCAGTCTCCTTACTATTTACAAATCTGTTCAGACTTTCTATTTCTTCATGACTTAGTCTTGGTAGGTTTTATCTTTTTAAAAATTTATCCACTTCTTCTAAGTTATCCAGTTTCGTGGATATCTAGACATATAACTGTTCATATTAATCTCTTAGTTTCCATTTTTATTTCAGTGGCATCAGTTATACTCTTCTTTCAGTTTCTCGTTCATTTCTGTTTCTATTTGAGTCTTTTTAAAATTTCATCTAAGTGTTTGACAATTTTGCTCATCCTTAAAAAAACTATTCATTTTGTTGATCTTTGCTATTACTTTTCTTGTCTCAATTTTGTTACTTTCTGTCCTTTGCTATTTCCTTCCTTCTGCTAACTTTAGCTTAATTTGTTCTTTCTCTAGTTTCTTGAGGTATAAAGTTACATTGTTTTAGATCTTATTTTCTCCATGGATTCATTTATTGGTATAAACTTACCTTCTTCATACTGCTTTTGTGTATCCATATATTTTGGTATATGGTGTTTTCATTTCCATTGTGGTCAGAAAAGATATTTGTAATAATTTAAATCTTAAATTTGTTAAGACTTTTTTGTGACCTAACATGTGATCTATCATGGAGAAAGATCTATGTGTGTTTGAGAAGAATATGAATTCTGCTCCTGTTGGGTGGAATGTTCTGCATTTATCTGCCAGGCTTATCTGGCGAACAGTGTTATTTAAGTCCTCTGTTTTCTTATTCATCCTCTTTCTAGATATTCTGTCCATTACCAAAACTTAGGTATTGAAGTCTCCCACTACTACTTTATTGCTGTTTATTTCTCTCTCCAGTTCTGTCAATGTTTGTTTTATGCATTCAGGCACTCTAATGTTGTGTGCACTTATGTGTGTAACTGCTGTGTCATCATGATGGGCTGACTCTTTTTATCATCACAAAACGCCCTTTCTTGTCTCTTGTGACAATTTTTGACTTAAAGTTTATTTTGTCTAATACAAGTATAGTCAGCCTTGCTCTCCTTTGGTTACGATTTGCGTGGAATATCTTTTTCCATCCCTTCATTTTCAGCCTATGGGTTTCCTTAATTCTAATGTAAGTTTCTTGTAGAAAACACATAATTGAGTCTTGTTTTCAATCCATTCAGCTACTCTCTGTCCCTTGAGTGGGGAAATTTAATTACATTTAAAGAAATTGCTGCTAGAGGAGGATTTACTATTGCCATTTTGTTCATTGTTTTCTGTTAGTCTTGGAGTTATTTTTGTCTGTCTTTTCCTCTCTTGCTGTCTTCATTTGTGTTTTGTTAATATTTTGTATTGATGTGCTTTAATTTCCTTTTTTTCTTATGTGTAACATTACAGGGTTCCTTTTTGTGGTTACCTTAGGCACACACAAAATCTCTTATAGTTACAACAGTGTATTTTAAGCTGATAATAGCTTAAGGTCAAGTATATAAAAAAACTCTACTTCCTATACTTGTTGTCACAACTTATACCCATCCATTATTGTATATCTTTCAACATATTGTCTAGTTATATTTTAATACTTTTTCATTTAACTTTTATATTAGAATTTAAAGTGATTTGCCAGTTACCATGATTGTAATATAGCTTTATGTATTCGCCCATATATTTACCTTTACCAACAAGCTTTTTGCCATCACGTTGCTGCTTAGCGTACTTTCATCCTTTCATTTGAACTTAAAGAAGTCTCTGGCATTTCTTATAATGAGTCTAGTGGAGATGAACACCCTCAGCTTTTGTTTGCATTGCCCTCATTTTTGGAGGAGAGTTTTGCTGGGCATAGAATTATTGGTTGACAGTTTATTTCTTTCAGCACTTGGAATATATCATCCTACTCCTTTGTGGCCTGCAAAGTTTCTGCTTAAAAAGCTGCTAATAGTTTTATGTGGGCTCCCTAGTATATGACTAGCTGTTTCTTTTGCTCCTTTCAAAATAATCTGGCTTCTATAATATGTCTTGGTGTGGATTTCTTTGGGTTCTTCTTATGTGGTGTCCTCTAGCCTTCTCAGATATGGATGCTTACCTCCTTCCCTTGATTTGGGATGCGTTCAGCTATTATTTGTTTGAATAAGCCTTCTGGTCCTTTCTTGCTCTTCTCCTTGTTGAACTTGCATAATGTGTATTTGGTCAGCTTATTTGTGTTCCACAATTCTCTTAGTCTTTCTTCAAGGTTTTTCATTCTTTTTTCTTTTCTGAATGGTTTCCATTGACTTGTCTTGCAATTCTCTAATCCTATCTTCTTCAAGATCTAGTCTGCTGTTGAACTACTGCAATACATTTTTCAGTTTCGGTTACTGTATTCTTCAGTTACACGATTTCTTTGGTACTTTTTAATATGTTATCTTTGTTGAAATTCTCACTTTGTTCACACGCTGTTCTCCTAACTTTGGTGAGCATCTTCATCAGAGCTATTTTTAATTCCCATCAGATAAAGCATGACTCCTTTTAATTGGTATTGGTTTAACATCTTCGTCTCATTCTTCATTTTACTTTGACTCTGTGTTGATGTCTGTGAATTAGAGAAAGCAGGTACTTCTCCCAGTCTTCCTGAACTGGCAAGGTGCAAGAGAAGACCCCTACCAATCAGCTGGCCGGAGAGTCTAGAGGTCCTGACCAACTCTCTCGCTCCCCAGGGAGATGCTGGCAGTTGTGGTCTTGTCTGCTTGCTCTTTGATGAGCTGGGGGGTCAGGGAACTATGTCTCATGTCAGCCCAACTGTCATCTCTGCTCTCCTCTAGGTGGCGGGACTGTGCAGCACACCACAGAGCGTCACAACTACTAAGACAGATGCCAGTTCCCTAGGCTGCCCCAAGACGCTGGGGTATATCGACTCGGTCCCTCCCAAAGTGGGAGCTGAAGGCTGAATTTTCATCCCCTCACTCTGTGCTGAGCAGGGCACAGAGTCAAGTGTGTCTGTCCATCTCAGCCAACATCGTCATACACCCCTGGGGAGCCAGACTAAACGGGTCTGTCAGCGCTCGGAGACCAGCAAGACAGAAGCCAGTTTTCTGGGAGGCCTCCTCAAAAGAAGTTGGAGTGCTGGATACACACATCATTTCCTTCCTGCCCCTGGGTGAAGATGGAAGCTAAGGGGTCTCTTGATGCGGGGGAGGGTCTTCAGCAAGAGGGTATCCCCAGTCTCCCTGCTAGCTTTCGTGAGTTTGATTTTATAATCTGCTGGGAGGTGAGAACCTTTCAGTCAGTTTCGAATTTCTCACAAAGAAAATCGGTCCATAAATTGCTGCTGAACAGGTGTGTTTATGGAGAGAAGGAGGGTCCAGTCCAGGGTGTCCTACTCTGGCACGTTGATCAAGTTACACTGAAACATTGCATACTCACCAATTTACTCTCTATCCACAGAAGCCGATTCATTTAATAATTTTATTCATGGAATCAGAAAAATTGTTAATGAAAATGGCTTGATTTTTAAAGGGCACTTTCTTCAAGTTTGATCTTGACTCCAGTTAGTTCCTGTGACCTGCTCTGAACACACTGAGATGTACAAGATCTTGACGGCCACTCAGCTCGCTCCCTTTACACTCGCCAGTCTTGTTTGCTAGCCATTACATACGTTAAGAACACCCTGCTCTAACCCTTTCCCCTAAATAGTCCTTTCTTTGCTCCTTGTGAGACTGTCTTTGATCTACCTTGCTATTTAAAAAAACAGTTTTGCCAGGAACAGTGGGTCACACCTGTAATCCCAGCACTTTGGGAGGCCAAGGCAAGAGGACTGCCTGAGTCCATGGGTTCAAGACCAGCCTGGGATACTTGGTGAGATCTCATCTTTACAATAAAATTTTAAAAAGTAGCTAGGCATGGTAGTGCACACCTGTGGCTCTAGCTACTTGGAAGGCTGAGGTGGAAGGATCACCTGAGCACAGCAGGTTAAGGCTGCGGTGGCCATAAGGATGCCACTGCACTCCAGTCTGGGCAACAGAGTGAGACTCTTACTCAAAAAACAAACAAACAAACAAAAACCAGTTTTATTGTATTCATAGTTTATTATTAGCTTCGACTTTAAACCAGTCTTAAAAATCTGTACTGTATCCCCCAGGAATACTCAAACATCCTTTCCTCAGGGCTTCCATCAAAATCATTTTGGATTGTTTATAATAAAATAGGGCTCTATGGTATGAGATATTAAAGGATTATGAAAAATTGTTACAATTCTAGGACACACCCTGAAAGAAGTAATAATTGTGATGCTAGGTTAAAGTATGTATCCCATGCAGAAATATATTAAGTTAAAAAAATGCCTTTCTTAATTACAGGCATGATTACTATCAGTTTGTTTTGAAGAACTTTACTGGTAGTTTAGAACGCTTAGAAGCGTATTATAAAAAACTGAAACACTCCAAATGTTAACACAAGCAGATTCAGGAGGTATTTGTTTAGCAATTTTTTACACAGTTGAAAAAAGGAATTTTTTAAAAAGTAGAATGAGATTGGATAACTTACTTTTGATGGCACAACTCCACTCTTAATCAAAAACATTTCTATCAGCTACTCACAAGTGTTAGTAGAGTAACCAAGCATGAATGAAGACAGACAAGAGAGGAATTACTTGGAGTGTCGTAACCCTATTACTCAACAATGAGGTAAAAATAAAATTCCAAGAAGGTAAAGGAACAAAAGAAAAGTGAGAGAATAAAAAGGTAAAGGGCAAGATTCAAAGGGCTAATTATATTTGTCTCAGGAAAAAATTCAAGGGAAATTTAGGTGTACCGTAGTTAGTATACTGGTGGTTAATTAACCAACACGTGGTTTTTAGTTATCCAGTATTTTTTTTTTTTTTTTTTTTTTAGGAAATGGGCTATTCGCTCATTAAACAAACAGTTACATTATTCTTATTAAAATGCCTGGCAGTGAGCTAGACTAAAAACAAACAAACAAACAAAAAGGCACGTGCTCTGCTTCTGAGGGGCTCCCAGTCTTGACTGGTCTTAGGAGAGCTTACCAAGGACCCTCAGATTTTCAGATTAAGGTACATTTCAGAGAGAGGTCAGTCAGGTCTCCAAAAAGTTCTGTGAACTATGTCGTGCTATTGGATGTAAAAGATAAAAGGCAAAGGAGTGCCGCCTACCTATTTTCACTTCATGCAACATGCTTTTGTTGCTGTTGCTCTCAATTTACATGAACACAAATACATATGACTGATTATTTATAGTGACCATTTCTAGTTGATATAGACAAGTGCACGCCACAGTCATTTTCACTTACCATCTCCTTGTTCTCGTTAGAAACATAAAGTTGCTTGTTTAGTTGCTGAAAGCGGATCAGCTGATCCTACCGTGGGAAGGAAGGGAGAGCACATGAGCAGCATTCTGTTTGCCATCTGCATTTAAGATTAAACTCTACCAAGTTTAAAATCAGCATGCCTACATTTAGATAACACCTGCAGCGTTTCTTCTATCATTGTGTGAATTCATCATAGAAGAACTAAGACAACATCTTTTAAATGATTTTAAAAGTGCCAATATTGAAACTAAGGTAGTATTTTAAGTGAAATAATTACTTCTGGAAATTAATGTTAGTAAATACAATTTTAAAACTCAAAGAAATATATTATCAAGAATTACACGTGATCAGAAATTCCAAATACTAGCGAGACCCTGCCTTCTATTGGAAAGCCATGTTCAAATCTCCTGTAAGCCTAAAATACCAGCCAGGGCACAGTAGTTATTGCAGACCTCCTTTTTAAAAATTCTCCTGCTCCTCAAGTTTAAAATTGTTTGGTTAGCTGTTATGATTCTATTAAACATTATTTATGTAGATGACATACAGTTCGGAGAGGCTGTTAATATGCTGGATAACAGAATTAAAGACTACAGGTAATCAGGGAAATGAGAATGAAATGCTATTTGTAAAAAAACAAACTGCATAGCTACAGAACAAGATTAAGGTGAAATTAACAATAACAACAAAAACAAAACCTCATGGTCTTAGTTGACTGATCTAAATGAGGAGACAGCCCTTAAAGAACGTACTGACGTTAAAAATGGTTTCTAGATCTCAGAGGGAAAAGTCCAACAAATCAGGTTACAGGTGAATAATTTTAATTTTTCTTTTTTTAAATATTTACTTTAGGGTTATGGGGTGCATGTGAGGAGTTCCTACATAAGAAAACTGTGTGTGGGTGTGGTTTGGGCTTCTATGAGCCCTCTCTCCGAGCTGTGGTCATGGTACCCAGGGGGTGGTGTGTGCCCCTCACACCCCTCCCTCCTTCCCTCCTTTAGCAGTGTACTGCTTTTGTTGTTCTTGCTTCTGTGCTCATGTGGTCAATGTTTAGGGCCCCACGTAGATAATTTTCAAACCAGGGCATAGATAGAAAAATCATTTTGTAAACGTAAAGCATCATGCAAGTATTATTATGACTTCTTTACGGAGAGACTCCCAATTATAATGATAACATTAGGAACATTCATAAATCAGAATTTGAAAAGTCTACAAATGAGATTTGAATTTATTTAAAAACTTATTTAAAAAGATGCCTGTGAAAAATACACAGAAGAGAAGAGATTGGATGGTCTCCTGAGACAGTGAGTTCTTGTCAACTGTAAAGTAAAAGCCAGATGTTCACTTTGAAAGAGTGTAAAATTCTTGCTTTGGCTAGAAAGGAGTCTTCAGTAGTCATTAGGATCCCTTCCTGTTGCAAAACTCTAACTGAGAACAGTAGACAAAGTTGACATCTATTTTAATAACAGATCACAATTAACGGTGTTCACATTTTTGTTTTACACGGCACTGTCACTGTGTTGGAGCAAGCTTCTTCACTGGCCCCCACCTAGTGAAAGGTTTGGCTTTGCTTGAAGTCAGGAAGGCGATCCAGCAAACACAAGTTTTAAGGGTCTGTTTATACTAAGTAACCTCACAGAGGCTTCCAGGGCTCCAGCCAGTTTTCCTTGCTCACCGCATTTCGCTACCAAATGTAGCTCTCAGTGCTTTAATTACCTCGCCGTGCAAGAGAGTTCTATCAAAGACCTATTTACTATGAACACAAATAACACTGTGGAAACTGTTCTCTAAACAGCTCCTTCAGAATGCGGCTTCTTACTGATATACAAGAAAACCAGGACAGGCAAGATTACCTTTTGTGTTTGACTTTCCAACACATGGATCTGGGCCTGAGTTGTATGTTCCTGATAAAGCTCTCGTAGCCTGTCTAACTCCTGAGAAACAGTCTGCCAGAGTTCCATGGCCTGAGTTTTCTCCTACAGAACAAAAACATTTGATAACTCATTAAATTATTAGCAGGCTATTTATTGCATGGTACAAATCGGTCATATCCCTTAAAGAAAGGGCCCTTGGAAAGTTACAAAATAAAACAGGACTGTGGAAACATATTATAGTTGTAATATCTTTGATGATATGAAGTTGTATTAATAAAAATTTAGACAGTAAACCTAAAGACAAAAAGTTCCTTATTTTGCAATTGTCTTTTTACTCTGATTTAGCTCAAATTAAAAGCCATAAAAGAGATCCAGACGTAGACTGCTCTCCTTGCTCCACCAGAAAGTGTGCACCAAAACAACTGCCGAGAAGACAACAGTCCCTGGCAAAGTACAATATTTCTTTTCTGATTGTAAAAATAATAAAGTTTCATTGTAGAAAATCAGAAAAACAGAGGAGAAAATGCTGCCACCTGATAATAAATATTGCTGACATCTAGCTATAATCATTTCTATAAATAGTGATGCATTCATGTTTATAAATATGATTCTGAAAAAGAATTTTGTAATGCTTTTCTTTTAACAAAGTTAGGATTCATCTAGTGTGCTGTACATTTTATACTATTTTTTACTTGACATTTTAAAGGGAGAATTTTCTCAGGTCAAACTATTCTTTGTAAAGTGCATAATCAAAGTGTGGTTTGGGAACTCTTAGACTCTTTGAGAGGAACTTGAAGTCAAAATTGAGTTGTGAATAATATGACAATTTTATTGCTTTTTTCACTCTCATTCTCTCATAAGTATACAGTCGAGTTCGCTAAAGTTTCCATGATGTGATGCCATCATTGTTCTCAGAGCTACTGGAACATGTGCTTATGCTCCCATTTGTTTTTAAATCAGTCTATTTTAATTTGTAATACAAAAAATATGAGTAGATATATAACCCACAAAACAAAACCAAAAAGCACTCTGGGGTCCTAAATAATTTTTCAGTATCCTGAAGAGGAGTCCTGAAACCAGAAAGGTCGAGACCCGCTAACCTAGCAGGTAGGGACCATCCTGTCTTCTTAGAGGAGTGGGGACTAAGGTTCTGGCAACTTCCCTGGCAGGTGGTTGATGAGACTCAGAAAGAAACCTCCATCTCTTTGTCTATAAAGCCCGAGGTGAAAGCCCAGGTCAGGGTTCACCCATCCTCTTAGTTTTAGTAAGAAAGTGTAGTGAAAAGACATGCACTTTTAGAACATAAGGAGCATACCTTCATAATAAATATGAGTTTATAAGTTTTATGAAGCTATCACTGAGGTGTAACATGCATTCAGAATACACCAGTCAGGAGTTTTACAAAGTGAGCACACATGTCACTAGTACACACCCAGAGAGAGAGCATTGTTACCATCACCTAGAAGCCAGATGTCCTTCTTGTGACCTCTCCCCGTTACTACAATATCCCCAAAATAACCATTATCCTGTGTTCTAACGCCATAGATTAGTTTTGTGTAAAACTTCAAACATTTGTAGACAAACACAGAACATTGGGCTGGAAGACAGGAAGTCAGGTGCTCAATACCGCCCTGTTGCCATTGGCTCACAAAGCGGGGTATTTGCTCTACAAAGCAACTCTTGCACATCGTTTTAATCCTTCTCTTCTAGCTGTTCAGTAATGATGACCAAAATAATAAGAACAATAGGCAAGTTTATTAATTTACATATGTACTATTGCTTCATGGGGATTTTTTTTCACTTAATTAGCATAAGAACCCCGCAAGAATTATTATAATCCCCATACACAAGTGAAGAAGGTAAACAAAGAAGTTTCCCGAGATCGTGGACCTCGAAAGCAGAATTGGGACCAAACTCAAGAAGTGTGACCAGAACCCAACGCCTCGTCACTTGCCACCCTTCTTCCCAAAGCCCGTGTGCTCCATGAAGGCAGGAACCAGCACTGAGTATCCTCAACTTACCATAGTGTCTGGCATATAGTAGGCACCTAATAAACATCTGTGGAAGGACTGAAGATACTTGAATGGAAGGTACTTCAATAGCCAGTTAAATGCTGTATGCTTAGTTCTTTGATAAAGCATCATATAATGAAGAAGTCTCATTTTCCCTCAATTTTCTATTTGAAATTGTATTTAATTTAATTTTTATCTGTCCAGTTTTAATTCATTTAGTTTTCACATGTGACACAAAGGTCTTTCAATCTAGTGGTGGATAACAATACAATTGAATGTGTTTTATTAGACCTTTAAAAATAAATGAATATATAAACATGCATGTATAAATAATAAACAGAAGTAACATTTGGCATTATTGTTTTATGGATTTCTTAACATTTCAGTAGTAATAAAAATGCACATTGTTTCACAGCTTTTGAGGGACATATTTAATATCTGGTTAGAAAGCATTTATAAGCCTAAATGAATTTCCATTTACTTTCATAGCTATAAATCCTTAATAGTCAAGACATAAAACCCGCATCCCTCGTCATTTCTTCCCGCCATTACTTTTGACAACTCCTTCTATTTACACATCTTCTGAAAGTCAGTGTTAAATGCATGTTCCTTATCAAGCTAAACATAGCCTTTCTGATTTACCTAAAATATTATTTTCATAAGTAAAGAATTCTAAAACCAAATTTCCACGGAATGAAACAATTACTTTTCACAGATAATTATGAAATCAAAATTATAATCCAGAACTTCGAATTTCCATATAGGAATGGGAAAGTGAGGCACAAAAAGACTTTCTGCTACGACTACGCGGGCAGAGGCAGAAGAATGGGGACTTAACCCATGCAAGATATAAAACACTTGGAATATAAAACTGGAAATTACCAGATTTATTTGCCACTATGTAACTATATACAATGCAACTATGTAGCTAAAAACAATCTGTACCCCCTAAAGTTATTGAAATAAAAAAATTGTAAATAAAATAAAATTTCCTTAAGTATAAATTTTTTAAAACTGCAGTGTTGAAAAATGGGATACATAAAACACAGCTTCCCAAAGATTCCAACTACCAGGAGAGAAGGAAAAAAGGAGGAAAAGTGTAATTCTGGAAGTATAACATCAGAAAAATATAAGGTTACAATCTGAAAATTTAAGAAAACAGCACCAGAAGAAAACAAAGAACAATTAAACATGTAAATTTAGTGAAATAAGATAATTTTTTCCTTTAAAAATTTCCTTTGACATTAAAATTTTCTCATAAGACAAATCATGTCAAAAGCCTTATGATGCCATAAAAATATATATTTGGCAGTTATACATATAACAGTGAGAGTTTTTATTACAACTTTTGCTACCTGTAACAATTCCTGTAAATTATAGAAAATCATCAAGTGTTACAATTATGTTATTCTGTTATTCATAATTAACAACACAAATTTTGAAAAGATCTGTTAATTCAGGATATAATTTTTAAAAACATGTGCCGCTTACTTGATTGGCTAGCATCAACTGTTCTTGAAGGTTCCTGATTATTTCATCATCTGTCCATAAATCAGTTCCTACCTCTGTACTGAGGGGTAGGGCCTCTAATTGCTTTTCAACAGCCTCTTTTAATTCACTGTGCAACCTTTGAAACAAACAGTTAACATGATTATTCATTTCAGTAACAGTAATTACTGTTTGGGGGTCAATTAAATAAACATTTGGGTAAATAATTTCCTTACACAAAATCATTTTTAAGTAGACATCGAGTAAAAAATTAATCACTATTAAAAACTGTGCTATGAGAATGAAAAGATTAGATGACAATTTCAAATGCATTAACTTGATTATAATTAATTCAAGCACAATTCAGTTTGTCCTAGATTTTAATTTTTCAAAAAAGTAAAATTCAGATGTTACAACTTATCAAGTAATAAAACAAGCCATTCTGAAAAAAACTTAAAATACCATAGCTTTATCCAGTCAATTTAATGAAAATTGTATACTGAATCTTGTAGAATTATTTGTTATTTTCTTCAGTGTGTTTCACAAAACTTACATCACTTCTTACTGGTTCCAATTAATAGACAGAGTAGAATAAAATGGCTACTGGTCATGAAACCAAGAATATTAGAAGCTTTATTTATCAGCACATCCTTTCATAAGTCTTAATTTTAATTTTAGTATCAAGTTAAATTACAGACATATCATGCTTTAAGACAACTACAAAAAAAAAAAGCACAAGAAGGTACAAATTACAAATGATTGTTTTAATTTAAAATGATACATACTTAAGAGGAAAAAAGTTTTACAACACTGGAAAAAATTTAAAATACTTATTTCATATAATTATAAGCAGAAAATATTATTTATAGTAAATTCATCTCCAGGCAAAAATTACAAAAAATTATTGTAGCCTTATAATAAAGTTTAAAGTGTAGAAGTGTAATACCTCCTGCTTTGTTTCTTTTGCTGAGGATTGTTTTGGCTATTCGTGGTCGTTTATGTTTCCATATGAATTTCTGTATTGCTATTTCCAGGTTTGAGAAGAATGATGCTAGTAATATAATGGGTATTGCGTTAAATCTGTAGATTGCCTTTGGTAGGATAGTCATCTTAATGATGCTTATTCTTCCAATTCATAAGCATGGAGTATTTTTCCATTCGTGTCAATCTTTGATTTCTTTAAGCAGCGTTATGTAGTTTTCATTGTAAAGCTCCTTCACTTCTCTGGTTAGGAAGATGCTGCGGTATTTCACTTTTTTGGTGGCTATTGTGAATGGAATTGTGCTTTTTAATTGGGTCTCTGCCTGCTTGTTGTTGGTGTATAGGAATGCAAGTGTCTTCTGCACGTTGAATTTGTACTGAGACTTTGCCAAAGTCCTTTGTCAGTGCAAGATTAACACAGCCTGGTATTGGTACAAGAAAAGGCACATAGGCCAATGAAACAAGACAGAGATTCCAGAAGGAAAATCTCAATTTCTCAACCAATTCATCTTCGACAAAGCCTCTATTAACAACCACTGGGGATAGGAGAACTTATTCAGTAAATGGTGCTGGGAAAACTGGCTGACCACATACAGAAAATTAAAGCAAGACTCCTACCTATCACCATACACAAAAATCAACTCCAAATGGATCAAAGGCCTAAATGTAAAACCGCAAACCTTACAAAATGCAGGAGACATCCTTATGGAAATTGGAATTGGCAACCAATTCCTGATCAAATGCCCAGATGTCCATGCCACACCTAAGAGAGAACATAGGCAAGAAGGACCTCATCAAACTGAAAAGCTTCTGCAAAGCAAAGAAACTGGCAAGAGAGTGGGGAGACAGCCCACAGAATGGGGAAAAACATGTGCCAACTGTATATCTGGCAAAAAGCCTAACATCTAAACGTGCCACACTGAGATCAATTAAAATTGAAACTACATTGAGATACCACCTAAATCCATTCAGGAAGGCTATCGTCAATAACTAAAAAAATAACAAATGCTAGAGAGAATGCAGGGAAAAGGGAACACTTCGGTGCTGTTGGTGGGAATGTAAACTAGTACAACCTCTGTGGAAAATGGTGTGGTGATTCCTAAAAGATCTAAAAACTGACCTTTCATACGACCCAGCAATCCCCCTTCTAAGAATATACCTGGAGGAACTCAAATCACTCTATGAAAAAGATATCTGCACACACGTGTTTATTGCAGCATTATTCACCATAGCAAAAACATGGAATCAACCATGTTGCCCATCAAAAGTGGACTGGATAAAAAAAGGCATACATATACACGATGGAATATTGCACTGCCATAAAGAAGGGCAAAATTAGGAACTTCACAGCAACTTGGATGAACTTAGAGTCTATAATACTCAGTGATCTGTTACAGAAATAAAGAACTGAGTACCACATGTACACACTCATAAGCGGACCCTGAACAATTATCATAATACTATAAGAAGGGTATTGGCAGTAGTGGGAAACTGCCAGGGGAGTCGGGGACACACTTCATCAATAAGTGTACCTGATATCAAACCAGGTGAAATGGGGACCAAAGTGAGGCCCAAACTCTGCCTGTACAATGACCATTTGTATACCTCTCCCTGAGGTATACCCCACATCTTTAAAATAAAAATAAAATAATAAATATTATCAGGCCAAAAAAAGGGGAACATATTTATTGAAAACAAAGTTCATCAAATATAATAAAACTGAGGAGATAAATACTTTAGAAACAACAAAAAATTCATTACTCACTAAGGACAGAGCTTGCTAATTATTCCCTAATTCAAAAAATACTTAAAGTATCAACACGAAATATTTTACTTTTAAATATCTAACAGTATATTTAAAAAATTTACTTTTATTATATAAGATATTTACTTAACAGAGAAAAATGACTAATATAGAAATATAAACAAGAGCTTTAGAAAAGATATCCCAAGTCTCAGAGAAAGTCCCATCATTAATGCTGTGATGTATTTTCTAGCAAAGTTTTTACTTTCCATTAAAAACAGATATATTGCCAGTATTATAATTTGTCTTTTTAGTTGGAGTCTTGCTCTGTTGCCCAGGCTGGAGTGAAATGGCATGGTCACAGCCACCGCAGCCTGGCCTGCTGGACTCAGGCAATCCTTCCACCTCAACCTCCTGAGTAACTGGGACTACACGTGGGTAGGTTTTGGCATTGCTCTAAAGGGAGCTGGCCCAGGTGTCAGGTTGCACTCAAAAGATGTTGCCTTGAGAGGCTTTTGTTGTTGTTGTTCCCAACACAAGGGTTGTTTAATCTACTATATTCAGGTGTGAGTCATATAATCCCATCCCATATCTGATGTAAACCTTCCATGGTTTGATACTTAGGGCTTCAGGCACACACTGATAATGTTGGCTAAAAATTAGTATTGTCTCTATTGACAAGAAAAGGTGAAGTCACGGCCTTGACTTCCCCCTGGAGGGATTGACAGATGCACTCTGGGCTCTCCATGGGCCCAAGGACACAAATATAGCACTCCACAAGACCAGTTTGCCCTCTCTGCACACTTGTTGGACTAGATCTGTTTTTAAATAGTGTGATTATGTCCTTAATTTCTTTTCACTCAATATGGGGCTGGAAAGCATACCCCTCCACATTGAAGCCTTAGCTAAATTCACACAGTGAGTCTTGAACGAAGGCAAAAATACTACTGAAATGACTCCAATGCGTAAGGCAGTGCTACAAAACGGAATGGTTTTAGATGTTCTTACCGCGTCTCTAGGAGCCACATGTGACATTACTCATGCCGAGTGCTGCACCTTCATCCCAGATGAATCAGGGAACATCACGGCAATGCTAAGCCAAACAAAACCCACATTAATGCTACAGGCGATGTGGATGCCTACGCTAAGGAGGTGCCTGAAAAGGTCTCTGACTGGTTTTCCAACAAGCTTTCTTGGCTCCCATCAGTGTTACAGGGCTCCTTTCAGGCACAGGGAAGTTCTAACTATGTTTATAATAGCAATACTAATATTTAGCCATCACACCTTGTACCAGATGTGTTGTTAAGATTCTTGAGCTCATAACTAAGCCTATGAAGCATGAAAACCAGCTGAGGCAGCTACTTGGAAGGCCGAGGTGGAAAGATCACCTGAGTCCGGCAGGCTGAGGCTGCGGTGGCCGTGAGCCTGCCATTGCATTCCAGTCTGGGTGACAGAGTGAGACTCCAGCTCAAAAAAAAGTAAACCCGCTGAGAAAGAACCATACGCACACTCATGTTGAGGCAGCATGACATAGCTACTTCCATGATAGATATCATGGCCTCAACTGAGGGTGGGAAAGTGACACAGGGACACACTGAAGTCCTTCCGAGTTGCTATAGACCCTAGAGAAGGGCGCAGTGGGGATTTAAGGGCTCCCGTACCTTCCCGAGAGTCCCCTTGTCTTCTCTGCACTCCCAGGAAATAGCTTCAGGGGATCCTTGACTTCCTAGTCGTCTACGCCCAAGGACAGAAATCCCTATTTACCCCCTTTCTCCGAACTATATAGTATCAATGTAATCATAAGTAAGTATGGTGACTTGCATAACTTTTGCAGCGCATGATGTCTTAGGCCTTGAAAACTTCCTGTACTGTAAATGTCACTATCTAAAAAGGTCTATACAATGCTCTGCTGGTCACATGGCTAACGCAGAGGCACCAAGAACTCTGGACCATAAAGCGAGTAAAAGCCTGGAGGGGAAACAGAACGATTTTAGAAAGACCTTGAGTCCGGCTCTGCTCCCTGGATTCAAACTCAGAAATAAATTTCTACCAAACAAAAAAGAAAGAAAGAAACATGCAAGAACTACCTACTTATAGCTGGACTTTGTGTTAGTACCTGGAATACTTACTTGGGGAGGGGTGTCTATTCTCGCTGTTTGTAATGCCTCTCACCCAGTGTGCCCTGATTCGTCAGATAGTATAGAAGTTTGGGTTTAGTTTGCTGGGTTTTTTTATAATCTCTTCTGCAAATTCTTACAAATAATTGATTTTCAGATATTCTTCTTTTTAATACACATACTGAAGAGTAGAGAGTTCCCTCTAAAAATGGCCTTAGTGGCAACTCACAAGTTTCGATGCTATTTTCATTATTAATCAATTGAAAATTTTCTGATTTTTCACTGTCAGTTACTTGA